CACCTTTGCTTTGGACAACAGATAAGTGCTGAAAGCCTCTAATTAAGAGATCACTTGCTTAATGTTTGGCAGTCAGCTGTAGCGAACAACGCAGAGCTTGCAGCAGCTTGCAATTAATCTGTACCTAAATCAATCACAGGGCACGGCAGTAAAACAACAACCTGATCTTTAGAAGTGGCTCTGTGTGTCACTCCGGTGTTCACAAATCTATGACTCTGCTGCTGACAAAATGGAATCGCACCTTGTTGAGTGTCACTTCCTACAAGCAGCCGCCGACTGACCTACAAGTGTTCAGTTTCTTTACCTCTAACAACGGAACACAGCTCTTGTCAGGTTTCATGAAATAAATCAACATCATTGATTTGGTGACGTCTCCTCCCTCATCCAGAGGACAATGCGCATGCGAAGGCGGACGTCTCAGAGAGATTATGCGGCAGGGTTTCTTAAGGCTGCAAATTCAACTGTGTTGAGGACATGATGACAGGCTGATCAAGAAATAACAACTGAGGGCTGCAGGCACTGTTGCATATATAGATCCAGCGTCAATAAAAGTCTATGGACATTTTGTGTATGAGAAACGTATTGGGAAGCAGTTTGTCTATGCCAGTTTAGGCAGATATTTGGCACTTACTTTTATTTAGAATACAAGTAGAGTAGATGTGTTTGGTATAAACCTGCATGAGATGGCTGAGTCTGCATTTCCGTAACACATGAACACACACAATGATAGTTGAAACGTAAACAGTAAAAAACAGCTTTCAGTTTCTATTGAACTTTTATTAAATCTATCAAATAAGTCACCATGAGGATCATTTGAGTCTGATTATGGATTAACATTTAAATTTAATTATGTTTTTATTCAGATACCAGCCAGCTACTAATAGTATAGGTTGTGAATATTTTAATAAGGAGGCTGTTTTCATCAGGCAATTAATACTTGAAAATGGTCTAAATCTGATATTTCTGGATATATGTGGTCAAACAATTGTCCTTTTTTGTTCTTTCAAGTAAAAGGACGTACTAAAGTTAGCTCTGTTGTTATGCAACTGTACTAAATTAGTCTGTGAGATGATACTAATGTATTCACTGAAATATTTAATGCAGCATCACAGTCAGAAACAATAATTACATCCCAACATATGCTCCATCTGTGATCACTAATGATTCATTTGCAGAGAAAAGGCTTTAAGGCATTCAAGAAACAAAGAATCTGCCAGTCAAAATTAGAGTTTTTCCCAATCACATTTTTCAATCAAATGTTCTGCATCCCCAGAGTCTTTAGATGTAGCTGAGTCTCTTAATAAGTCGCTTGTTTCCCTTGTAAAACGGCATGGCAGCAGCAATATTAGTCCTTCTGAGTCCACACAATCCTTATTGCAACACAACTCTAAAAACTAAACGTTAACCTAAAGTGTAGGTTAGGGTTAGGGTTAGGGTTAGGTTCTGAGTGGGCAGTACTGGATATGGATTGTGTGCAATAGTTATACACTGAGCAAAATACAGTTTGCATTGGATTTTAGAAATCACTCAGCATAATGCAGTTCTTTGAATTCACAAAAACTAAAGTTTGAAGGCATGGTTCAGTGTCATTCAGATTCAGCTCGATACCTCAGAGTGGGAAAAGCAAGCCTTGAGGGCTGGTGTCCTGCCACAAGCCCAACCTGAGCCCTTCAGCCTGAGCCGGTGTCTGGCAGCAGGCCGGCTGGCCATGATGAGCCAGATGTGGCACTGGGAGCTCTGGGGATTTTCAACAGCAATTTAATGCTGTTTTATCCCTTTAGGCTGCTGTTGCATTTTTTTTCTTTAACTCTTGTTTTCAACTGCATTAAGAACAAGTCTGAAGTAACTCCCTATTTTAATATTCACTGTACTGACTACCATCCTTTTCTATGAGGGGAATATATTCTATAATGCCCTCAACAACTCAAGAAAAGCATCAAGCCAGCGAGCTGCATGTAGGTTCACGGTTACTCAAAGTTATACCTTGTGGCTCATTCAGATGCAAAAGTGATGACTTGGTTAACTTAAGCATTGATTAACAAGACCTGGATTCCATGCTCAAACATAAAAGCTACTGACTTGCATGAAAAGAGCTTTCCTGGTGGACAAGTGAGTGTTTTTCTTAAAAGTTCAAACAGATTGAATTTTTTTTTATTTGTACAACACTTCAGTACCATTCGATGAGTGACTCAAAAAGACCTATAATTTGATTTCCTTTTAGAATGATCTAATATTCACTGTATCATGGAGCACATAAAGCGAAAACATGTTGACCTCAGTGAGATTTACATGTGGCCTGTTAACTTATGCACACATGAATATCAGGAAGAGTTACTTTCAGATGTGTAAACAGTACACCAGCTTCCATTTGGTTGGTGCTTGTTTAAATTGTGGTGTTTGAGCCCACACCATATTTACCGCTTTTTGTGACCTTCACACTGTATGCTATAATTTCCCAAAGCTCTGCACATTGCAATAATTATGTGGGGACAAACACACGGATGAATGGTTGAACAAATACAATGAGAATTGTGCAGAAACAACAGCATCCAGTAGCACGAACGCCAAGTGAGGTAGAGTGTTTATCACCACCTCGTCTACACACCCAGCTGTGAGAGATTTCGAAATGCAGGAAATGTTGTGTTTACTGCATGAGATCTTTCTTGTTTGCATGATTTTTCTGACTAATCGCGCATCCATCTTCAGTGAGTGGCGTTTAAGTTAACTGATTTAACAATATTTGTCACTTGATATCTGAGTCTAAACGCTGTTAGGACTTGGCTTGCCTTGACTTGGCTGTTTTATTTAAGACCCAGAATACATTTCCCGGCAGCACTGACAGTTAGGCATTCTTATTTTGGCTCCAACACATTCAACAACTGATGATCGACTTGTTTTCAGCACACAGCATGTGTATTTAACTCGCCTGGATAGAAAATTATACAGCTTTGGGTAAAAATGAGGGAGTATAAAGACTATGGCCAGCGTGTATGCTGGTATTGTGTGAGGCTCTATGGGAGATGAAAGTGTGTCGGCAAAATAACAGATCTGACTTCACCCTGCTCTTGCTGTCCAGCCTGCAATGATGAAACAACAGCCTCCGTGGCATCACAGATGGAGGAGAGAGATGTGACACAGTGAAGAGGGGGCACACAGCAGATGAAGGAATGATGGACGCACATACAGGCTGAAGGGAGGCTTATTGTAGAAACCGACTGTCCGAGTAACTGACTGGGCTCATCGGCGGGCTAATGTAATGACCGCTCGCTGCTTGGAACCCATTATGATGGCGGGGACTGCATTTGTCCCTCCATTAAATCTTTAATCCCACATCCTACACCTAACATGTTACGACAGCTCGGATTTTTTTTTTTCCACTTAGTGCATTTTCTTTCCATTCACATCTCTTGCAGATGCATCTGATCAGCTGCTGTTTGATCATCCCATGTGTGTGTAGCAACTAAATCAACAATGGTCAATTCCTATTTCACAGAGTATGTTTATCTATAAGACTAATAATGTCAGGAACAATAACATCTAAAGAAAGACAGGGTGCCAAAAGAGGTTAACATAGCATGACAGGGAGAAGAACACTATATGTAGGAAGAGAGGGGGGGGGGAATTGGGTAGCAAATAAGCAGAAAAACAAGTGGAGGAAAAGAGGAATGATGTGAGAGTAGTGCAGCGCTGTAAGGTCTGCCGTTGCATCCAAGCATTATGACACATCCCCACAGTATATACTGCACCGCTGGGCTGCATGCTCACTGCAGATTTTCATTAACCTTGAGGCTCTGTACATTAGAGCCTCTAACCTGGTCCATACCACGCCAGCACAGGAAGACGACACAGCGACCGTCTATATTCTGCTCAGGAATATGGGTCGCGATGTGCCATGGCATATGTGTGAATCCTAATCGGCAAACATGTTTGGCAAAAGCTTGAGTTTACTGAGGCATAGATAATGCTTTTGTTTTCCAAATGCCACATTATGCAGGAACGTTAGCATAGAACTGATTTAAATACAGGCCAACATAATAAATTTGAGTTGTAGAAAACACCACAAAAGTCAAATGCCTCACTGGTTAAATGCACAGATGGTCTTCAAATGTTTGAGCATTTTTTCAAGGAGTTGGTATGATGTGAGAAACATAAAAAAGAAACTGGGTGCACTAGTTACATTAAAGTTGCTCATGATATACATTTGAACAACACTGTTAGTGCTCATTGAGAATGAAAGCTCTGACCCCATCGTAGATTCAGTACACATGAAGCCATGACGCTCACCTGTTTACAGATCTTCTGAGCTACCTCTTAAATCTGACAGTAAAGTCAGTGTTTTGATCCATGGATCTGTACCAGGAGAAGAATATCACTGGAGCTTGGTTAACTAGTCTGAGTCAGGGAGCACAGTGACTCAGTTGAGTGTAGCAGTGTATCAGTGTTGGTTTTGTCTGGAGGGATAAAAGCTCATGATATTTACCCCAAATCCAGCGGAAGAACCACACCGGTTAAAAATGATTTATCCTCTGGTTTACACATACTATTTAGAATGTCAGGATAGCAATGTTAGGATAGCTAAATATAGTGTTTTAATGCAAAATTTCGGTACCTACAATTACTAGTCAGCAAAAAAAAAAGCTCCTATACGATGTCTATTTTCATTATCTGTGCAAAAAGTCTTCAATCGAATTACATGTAATTATCAGGCACATTTAAAATTATATTTGACTGTTGCTCTTTGATGTGAAAATGTAAGAATGCTTTGTTCCATGTCTGGGAAAGCAGATTTTTCTTCACGAGATGTAAAAAAACAAGGAGGGAAGAGGGCCGTCTGATTTCAAATTGTTACTGCACCCCTGGGAAAAGCATCAAGCCATGGCACCAAAGAATAGGCAAAACCTACCCTCAGACTCTCCATACTTTGTATAGTATGTGTTTCTTTTCTGTCTTTTCTTTCTAAATGAGTCAGCGGAATGCAAAGCTAAGCGTATACTCACCTCCTCCCACTGATGAATGTATCTGATGAGACGGGACAATCTTAACAGACGCAGAAGACTGAGGATCTTGGTGAAGCGGACGATTCGCAGAGCACGGGCCGTCTTATACACCTCCGAGTCAAAGCCTTTCTCTACTATTAAAAAGATATAATCCACTGGAATGGAGGAGAGGAAGTCCACAACAAACCAGCTCTTCAGGTAATTCATCTTGATGACTTTTGGATCGAGGATGATCTCAGAGCTCTCCTCATTGACAATCCCCGTCCTGAAGTTCATGACCAGGTCCACCAGGAAGATGGTGTCCGAAGCCACATTGAAGACCAGCCAGGTGGTGGTAGTCTGCTCTGAGAAGAAGGTTATTCCCACAGGAATGATGATTAGATTCCCCATCATCATGATGAGCATTATCAAGTCCCAGTAGAACCTGCGGAGCAATGCAGAAAGCAGCAGTCAGACACTCCTTCGTTATTAGGAAATATTCACGATAAACGAAAATGCAAACATTCTCAAACAGAGAATTCAGTTTTAAATGAAGAATGTGGTTCCCTAGTAAAGTTCCCCACTTTAAAGTTTGAGTATCACCAGTGTTTGCAAATAGAAATGATTAAGAAAGATAAAAACAAAAAAGAATTCAGAGCTTGATGTGCACGGCATACGAGAACAATAGGGATGCATGAATGTAGCTTCAAACTTAAGATTTAAAAGTTATCTACTGCTTCCGCTTAGTGTGTGTGTTTCAGGCCCTCTAGGCCAGACCCCTCTCCTCCTTCCCAGCTGTGTTAATTCCCCTGCCCTCTGTCTTGCCATGAACAGAGGCAGAGGTGATTCATCAATTCTGTGCTCTTTTCACCAAAGTGTCCTGGGCCCCCGTAAAGGCCACACGACCACAAATGAAAATAGATGCTTTCAGGAATCCTATCTCATTCTAAAAACTATCCCCTGACGCCATCCCTGCTGTCTCTGCCCTGCCCGTCCATCCATTGATGTGACTGAAGGTGGAAATGGACTGGCTGGCTGCTTGGCAGGCTGCCCGTCTGAATGGAAGACTGGTCACTCAGTAATGGATCTGTGTGAATAAATTAAGCCGAGGCCTCGGCTTTATAAATATCCACAGATCATGTGTCTGATAATTGTCTTCACTTCACCTAAACAGTGGTCTTCTGGGTGGCTCATAAAACCCACTGAAGGTATTTTTACACCAGCAGGCATTGGACTGGAAAGTGGAGGCTTAAACACAGAAGGTGATGCACTTAGGGTTTTTTTTTTAAAAGGTCTTCGTTCCTCCTAAGAGTACAAGATTTCAATATATTAACACAACAATGAAAATTTGCATCACCTGATGACACCGCACACTTTCCAAATCAATAAAGATTATTCAAGTGGACACTTATTCCAGAAAGAGGTGCGAGCAGTGTGTGTGTCTCTGCGTGTGCTTGTATGGTGTGAGCTTATTTTACTTTTTATCTATATTTGAATGTTTAATTAAAAAAGATCCGGTGAAGTAATCTGCTATGATTCATATTTTCAGTTTCTTAAGATAGGCAAAAAAATAAGAACAATATGGGTAATGAAAATAAAAATGAAACTCTGTGCCTGTGGTTAACGCAGCCGGTCACAACTACAAAAGGTAAGTGTTAAATCAAAGAAATATTGGATGTCTTTTGGACTCTGAACTGCATGGAAAATTAAATTCCACAGAGTGCCTTCACTTTGAAAATTTTTTTATCTCAATAATGACTAAGGTTGGTCCTATACATACAGAACATGACCTCTAAACACTCACTCAGATTATAAATTAAAAATAATGTCTCTAACACCTCATTTAATCCAAATAAAGCGGCGAAGCTCTAATATTTTACAATAAAAGATTATGGCTGCAAGACAAAAGAATCCTTAAGAAAGGTGCTTTAAGGTGATATTAATCAGTGTGGGATCTGTCTAATTCAGGTGTCCCATTTTGTTTCAAGGAGCCGGTCATAAAGTCCCAATGAAAGCGCTAACACAGTGTCCATCACATTAATGTGGGAAGCTCCTGCTGTAAAGCTCCAGTTTCTGCATGGAATTCACTCCTCAGTGCACCTCCTGCTTCGGGTTCGATACGACAAGCAGTGGATCAACCAGTGCAAAACTCTGCTGCACCAACTGTCCAGTCAGTGACATCCGGAAGAGTTGTGTACTCGTCCAATCATTTATCATCCCCCTCATCAATTTGTAAATGCACCCTGAACACCCAAACAAGCTGCCGCTCTCATTGATTTAAGTGAGAGACAACGGCCAAACAGAGACCGCAGAAACTCTGCAGCCGCTTAATTCACTCCTATGCCAAAGTCCTCCACCAACGATGCCAAACGGAGGTGCTATAAAACAAAAAATAAAGATACTTTAAAAAGAGGGTAAAGAGGGATGAGCCACTCTAACTACGGAAGGCAGCGGAATTGCCGGCAGAACAAATCCTGCTTTAAATCAAGCCTGCACAATTCTTCTTGTAGGTTTCCTCTTTACAACAAGCGATCCATCATAATCAGTGGTAGACCAGTCCTGCCAAGCAAAAAAAAAAAAGAGGGAACCCCACATCAGGTTTCTCTGCACAGCCTGCCCCAATCCTATCTGCAAAGAAACAGGTGTAGCAAACTGAGCGATTAATATCAAACTGGTAGACAATACACGGAATGTACTTTGTATAGGTTCAGTTGCAATATATACACAAACATATTCATCTTTGCTGAAACGATATTAATAAAAAATAGATAATGATTAACAACCAACTTAACTTTGTGGCTTAACAATACAGAAAGAAACAGGAATGCATGTCCCCTTCCAGTAGGTCTACCTAAAACCCTCTGAATTTGCTTATTTTCATAATTTCTTGATCACTCTAAAGGAAAATCTAAAGCATGGGCAGCTACTGTATACCGACAGCAAGGAATTCTTCATTTATTGTTTTTTAAACAGCATGTTAAACATGTAGAGCGCCCGTGTCTGCATCGGTATTCAGCATCTTTGAAACAGACTGACACAGATCACAATGTTGTCTTCCAGATATTGACAAAAGCCTCATCCTGGCATAACCAGAGGTGCATGATCCCGCGCAGGAGGTCTCTCTAAAAACCTATGAATAATGAATATTACTAACCTGACATCAATCTTTAAGCAGCCACTGTGTACGAAGAATATGTTGGATATTGAGTTGCAAACACTCCCACAAAGCGCTATAAAGCCTGTGTGAATAGTGGTGTCACTCATTTGCTGTACTTACGTAAGACTTTTTGTGAAAGGACCATGCACGTTTATTTTTCCTCTCTTATTTCCTCTAAACACCACACACCACGCAACGCAAAAGTTAGCAGGAGCATAAATAATTGAAATATCTCTTTATCCTTTAACCTGCAGGGAAAGGAGAGCCTGAACAGCTGGAATACCATCCATCCATGTTTAAGCTGAAAACTAACCTCAGTGGCACAATGATGCTGTTTCTTGGCAGGAGCTATAAGAGGACACAAACTGAAACCTGCTGAAAAATGTCACGAGAAGTTGGGGAAACATTTTCTGATAACGCAGATTTAGAGAGGCTCGGCCTGCTTGAGCGAGCACACGTGAGACGTTCCCCTCTCTTAAAGAATGCTCACCGTTAACCTGAGGGTGCTTAACACCTAACAAAACTTCCATTCTTGAAAATACACATAATAAGAAGAATTAATTTATCTTCCTTAACCAGGTCCTGTCCTTTGATCATCTTCAAACCCAAATCTTCTGATGTAAATGTTTTAAAAAGTCAACCAAGATTGCTGATCGCTTTGTTACATAAATCTATGACCACTGTAGACTTCCACGTTTAACACTATCATCTCCATGTTATGTGAGCGTTGCACTATGACCAGAACACAATGATCTACGAATATCAACCAAATCTAAAGGCTCCCAGAAGCTGTAGGTCCATGGAAACCGGCCTTTAAACGGCCAATTAGGAGCTCTGACATCAGCAGTGGGACAGAGTGAGGGCTGCATTCCCGGCTGTGCCCTAAGTTCAGGACCAGGGACAGGACCTGTGTTCAGGACCATGGACAGCTCAGCGATAGCGAGGAGAGGGAATGATTGTCACCATCAAACTGTCAGAAGACCCACACCCAGAACGACATTAGGTGCCTAATGGATCATTAGTGAACTGAATTAGTGAACATGCTCCTCGTGAGGAACCGGTTTCTGCTCGTTGCCACAATAGTTGACCATTTCAGAATTGTCTTTTTCAGGTGACAGCCCCATTCGGGCAACACGATGATGTGATTAGAAGCCTAAAACAGACCAAGTAGACATGTGTACGTCGTAACGTGAATATGAAGGAACGAATCGAGGCTCCATCTGCAGCTCCCTCTGAATCCAACACATTTCCTCCTCAGAGAAGCTGGAAATACAGCAACGTCTCCCTCCCATTCCCCATGGCTCCGCTGTTTAAAAGTCAATGGTTACACCCGCAGATCGTTTTTGTTGTCATTCATTCAAAACACAGACGTTTCTTTTGATTATTATGATTATTATTATCATTCTTTCCCCTGCATGATTTTACCGCATACTCTGCTCTCTTTTCTTTTTTGCACGCAGGCCCGTGGTCTCTCCACCACCTCCTCCGCCTACAACGAAATGTTTACTACCGTGCTGGTGCAATGGCATTGTCACGTTGTGCCCAGGTACTGTCGCCCCGACGGGGAATATGTCGCAGCGCGAGCCTGAGAGCGTGCCGCGCGCGCGGGGCTGAGCCCCCGTGGGTCTGCTTAAATCATGACATTCACCGTCATTCTTCCAAGGACATTCCGCTGATACACCTTTAGCCTTTACGCGTCATTTCTATCTGGTTCCCCCCCCCCCATTATCCTGATTTTCTTTTTTTTTTTTTTAAATGCCGCAATGGAACACTGGGAAGCTGAAGCCTGATTGCCTAAATACAGGGGCAGATTGGCATATGCGTTATGGGGCAGGTTGCGTGCGTGTGTGTGTGTGTGTGTGTGTGGGTGTGTGTGAGTGTGTGTAAAAGTGCGGGCTATAGCTCGCAGACCCTAGGGTGACGGGAGGGGTGTATCAAAAAGGGAGGGGCGAGCAGGTGTCAGTTCCAGCCCTTACCTAAAATCGCTATACGGGTGAATGATCCAGTATCCGGCCGTCTGGACCCTCTCCTGCTCTTTCTCCACGGCTTTCTGACTGCCGAACATACGCAAGGAGAACTTATTGACTCCGGGCTGCATCATGGCTCCAAATTGCCTCTGCATGAAACCATGTTGCCTGGCCGCCCCCTCCAGATCGTCAAAGCCCACCATGGCCTCTTCCCGCTCCCCCTTGAAGCCCACTGAGTTGCCGTGGTCCTTCATGTTCTGGCTCCCCGTGTTATTTTTCTGTATCGAGTCTTGCCTCTGAAAAACATTATTCCCATCCGCCTTCTCCTCCTTGTTGCTGGAGAACGAATTGGATTTGTCTTCCATGGTGTTCTTCTCCTTTTTTCTCCCGTTGTTCTTGGTTGACAATGCGTTCCGTCTCCGGCTCGCGAGAGAGCTGCGCGCAAAACTGGAGAGAGAGGACCCGCCGCGAGCGCTCCCGTTTTTCTTTTTGATGTCCTTCAAACTGTTCAGCTCCCCCCCTGTCTCCAACGCGAGTGCTGCAAACTGAGACGGAGTGCACGGGAGCCCGGTGGATCAGGTTTCTTGGGTTACCGCCATCTACCGACGGCCCCGGCTTCTGCCGCCAGCCTGCGTCTGCTCTCCCTCCGCACGACACTGCGGTCCAAACTCACACACGCTCCCGCATCTTATTTACATAATGTGAATGTGGCCGGTGATACCACCACCCCTCCCTTCCACCACCACCATCACCATCACTACCCCCTCCACCTCCCCCTTTTCCCATGTCCTCTTGTGTCAACAGTTTCTCACATGGCCGGGGGGGAAGCCAATAATTGCAGGCCAAATGAAAGTTAATGAAGCCTTTTTCCTCTTTTTTTTAATCCATTGATACGGCACGTGTGCTCCCCGTGGCTCGTTTGGCAGCAAGTTTTATATCCTGCCGAGGAGTTCCAATGGAAGCCAACATGGGAAAACAGATTGCAAAGTCGGTGCGACCACATTTTTTTTTATTGGTCATGTGAGAAAAATGAGCAGAACATCTTGAGGAAGTCACACATTTTTAAGCTGTCGGAGATCTGGTCCAATATTCAGTGTCACTGAACTGACTGCATTATGCTGAAGCAGCAAAACTTTTTGTTTCAAGCAACTAAAGCTTACGTTTGAAATTAGAGACAAAATGGTTACACGGTGAAGAGTGAAGTGATGCGGAATGTTTGCAGAATGACAAGAAGTGGATAATGGCGGCTAAGAGCGAGACCTTTTGAACCCGCCAGGCCCCACGGGTCACATGTCCACTGTCCAGTCCAAACCAGGAAAGTCTAACACGCCGTTTCTTTTTTAACAGCAGTCCTTCGTCGTTGGGATGGTAGATGGGAAAAACAGAAATGCGCAGGGAATCAAAGAACCGCTCTAACGGTGATGCAATCATGGAGGAACATCAGGTCACACAACCCCAGCAGCAAAGGACATGCAGTTCATTAATGCTCAGGTACAAAACAGGACCAACATTTGCATAGGACAGAGACATGCCCTCTGCCAGGGGAAAGCCACCACTGCCGCCTCCGTGTCACACGGGCCCTCCGTAAAAACAAGATGTGCTTCATTTTACTACAAGCAAAAAATAAAGCAGCTGTGCGTAACCCGGCTTGGCACACGTATTCAATTATTCAGACACAGGTACGGACTTTAACATGTGGATGTGTGTGTAAATCCATTTTCTAATGGTTATTTTTTCAGCCTTTAATGCCTTTATTTGATAGTGTACCGTGAAATGTAAGTAGCCCACACTCTTTCATGCAGCAGCTGACAGAAAAAAGACATGTTTAAGAATTTGTGGGTTTAATGGCAATAACACTGTGCATCACGCACAGCTGGTGTTTCTATTCCACTTGGTGCCAGTATGTCCAATAATGTGGAGTAGGGACATTTTAGCATTTTGTGTAAAAGTATCTGTCTTTTATTATGGAATAAAATAGAAAAAGGATGTATAAACCATGTTTAAATTCACGTGGAAGCAGCTGAAAGAACATATTCAACCTCAACATCAATGTGTTGCTTTCACCCCAGACGACACACTTCTCTATGGGGTTTTTATTGCTTACATTGTAAGTTTTCTTTTCTTTTAACAATTTCAAATATGTTTTGGGAGAAGTTGACATGGTAAACATATATAACATAAATAGCTACTCGTTCTGTTGAGTCAGAGTGCCCGTGCCACAGCCACTTTTTCCACAGTGTGGCCTGACACGCGCACAGCGTTCCAGTATAAGCCTCTTCATGTCCACACAGAACCACAGCTGGCTGTGTTCATCACCACAGCAGGCATTAGCTCAGATATTTGTCTTGTTTAAATGTGGATTATGATGTAATGATCCAAATGTTATCATAACTATAAAATCCTTTCTTTATTTATTTTTTCAATATATTTTCTCTCAGCTGGTTTGGCTGGAGCTGGATTAGTTGGCATGCCAACTGTTTCCTCTCCACAAAGCTTGTGTAGCTTATGTTACACAGTTAACGGGACTGGGAGGGGTCCTGGTATAGAAAATATTGCATGATATTTATGGTTTATAGCTATGATAGAATTAAACATGTGTGATTCCATGAATACATATTCTCTTTATATATACACATAACAAAACTTAACAGTTAACTTAAATATTTGGACATACAGTATATGATAACTGTCTAACAGAATAGTTGGTATAACCTTTCCTACATATTTGTCAGCTTGATGAAGTTGAATGAAGTTTTAAAGTCCATTTAAACCATTTTAAACATAGATTATATAGTAGACCTTATATCTTACTCATTCCATGTTGAGAAACGTCTCTGATTCTTCTGATGGTCTCATTGGCCCTTCTGAAATTGCATTGTGTGTCTAAGATTGCATCTATGCCTCTCTGTTTACAGTCAATATCTCATCTGGACATGAAACATTTCATACCCTTATACTGCCAGCCAATGCTTATGCCATAAATAGCATCCGCCAGCTCCAGGATGGCAGCATTGTGTTACCATGCCCCCCTCGGACCCTCTACGTTTTCTGCAAGTCATTCAATGTATATTTTTTGTACTGTGTAAATATTCTGTAGAAACATCTCTCAGTGCAACAATCTTACCTAAGAGCACATTTGAGTACTAAATGTCCATTTTAAAACACAATTTGAATTAATAGCAACGGCGGATCAAATGTTGGATACAAAACATATAAATCACCAAATGCACTGAACAATTTGAAAGTTTTAAGTTCTGTGTGGAACACTAATTAGAAAATACAAATCGTCCACCATCTGAGCCAAAACATGACGGCCGATTGACTTGTCCTATTTAGACTCTCGTCCAACGACGACAACTTTAATTAAACTGCGATTGGGGTTGGGAAGATGGTAGTGTTGTAATAGGATTGCTGGATTCTGGATTTTCTCCAGCTGAGTCTATCATGCTATCATGGACCTGAAGGATAAGGCTGAGACATTCAACAAGGACCAGCTAAAAGAGGGGTCACTTAATCAGCGAACAGAGTAAACAAAGTGCGTTATCAATCAAGTTGATTATGATAAAATGGTTTTTAGTTTGCGAGCATCATGACGAGCAACGAAAAAGTCATTTTACTTTACTTGGACATCAGAAGTTCAGAGGGATAACCATTTGGTTTGTTTTTTGTGATAAACCAGCGCATAAACATTGTCCTAACAACACTTTATAGTTGATTGATAATGGAAAGTTGGAACAAAGCATCTGTAAAGTATCACCGCGTCACTCATTGACATGTTTGTCAGTATTATGGGGTAAGCACAATGAGAATCCATCAGTCCAACAAACCAGTTCATGTCAGTGGGGTTAATGGGACAGTTGGCATTAGGATAGCATCATTACAGAAGGTCCACATAGCTGAGCTGATTTTTAACCTTTGGAGATTATGCAGCTCTTAACCTTTAAGATGAAATCCAGAGTTAATGGTTGTCTAGTGCTTATCAACACCAAGAAAAAAGAGGTTCCATGAATCCTGAAGCTAATGAGATCGCATGACAGTGTCTGTGGTGGTGGGGAAGTGGTGAAGGGCAGCAGGTTTCAGATTCGTATATATACGGTAGCTGTTTTCAGGGATGCTTTTGCATTTTTTTGCAACATTGTTTTGCATTTAAGTTTGTTTTTGTAAGGGCTAATTGTTTCAGTTATTCAATTATCCATCAATCCATTTTCTGAACCACTTATTCCCAAATGGGGTTGCGGGGGGGACTGGAGTAGTCAATGGGCGAGAGGCGGGGTACACCCTGGATTTCCATTGCAGGGATTCGGACTCAAACCAGGAACCCTCTTGCTGTGAGGCAATGGTGCTAACCACCACACCACAGTATATTTTTCACAAATAGTGAAAGTCTGTTTGTCTTTCCAAACAACACAACATTGTTAGTTCTATCTAAATGTATTACGAATTTACCAACAGAACGGCCCACCAGAAAAAAAATCACATTAAAAACACTGATTTGATTACATAAAACATTAATAGTGGCAAATGGAGAAATTGTTACTTCAGTGCAATGAAAGAGGTTGTTGTGATGAGTTTTCACAATTTAAAACAAAAATCAAATTATTTCTGTGGATGACATTGACCTCCTAAAGCATGTGTTTTATGTTTGGTCATCACGTAATGTTTGCCAATCTCATTTAGACTGTGTTCTCCAGTAAAACAACAAAGACAATGGTTCATGTCAGTGAATTCCTTTTTCAAATGTCCTAATAACGACAGATGGTTTTTCTGACACTGTTGCGTTCTGTGCTAATGAAAATGAAGACATGGATTCAGATACTGGCAGGGGTGTAACAGAGTCAGCTGGGAGAGATTAAGTGGCTGAAACGGATGGTAACCCATATGAGGTAGAGATGGAATGGAGGAGGGTTGAACAAAAGGTGATCTGAAAGGCAGAGTGACAGAATTACCATGGTATTTTAAAGAACAGAAACTAGGAGCCGATTGGCTGAGAAACAAGCCTCAGTGGTTGCCACTGCAAAGCCTTCGTAGGATGAGAGTAGTGACGCAGAAAGTGGAACTGTTTAGACACTGTGGAAAAGAGGAAGTGACTGAGAAAATGGGCCCTTCTCAAGCTGTGACTCACACAGTGATTGTTACATCTTACTGTATAAACTTGTACTCAAGGTTAGATAGTTTCAAGATCCCTTTTTTAAATGATTTAATCATGCCTTTTATTATTTCTGACAACATGTTTTTGAGTGTGGATGAGTCCTTAATGCACCTGTTGTTCAGTCAATGTATTCGATGCCTTTTCTTGATCGTTTTTACATGAACAGTTACATGTAACATGTTGCTGTTCTCTTGTTGCCCTGTCGTGCAGTTTGGATAATAGTATGGTGTCACCTTTTGTATCTGATCCCAAATGAGTTTGAATAAATGCAAGAGTTTCCGCTGGGGAAGGTGAGTAGATCAGTGGGATAATCTGGTCATCTTGTAACCTATAATACAAACACATCTAAAAATCACATTACAACTGTTTGCTTTCAGTCAGAACCCA